TGTAATAAAGTAAAATTCACCATTGACGGAAGGTAATCTAACAGACTTTAGCTATTCTCGGCTGATGTTACCTTTTCCTTTATAATAAATATGTTGTAACAAAGGTAAAACAAGCTGTGAACCAGATTATTTTATCAGTGACTGAGCATTAATTGCTGAACATATACTTTCTTTTCCTGTGTTACTAATGTGTCACGTAGTGATAACTGAAAGCAGTTGTTGTTTTATTTTGATAAAAAGGTTTACATCCCCGGCTGTAATTTTGATAACAGTATATTTAAACTTGCATGAAAATCAGCAATTTAGTTATAAATTAAGCAAAAGTGTGTTCTGGTTTCGTTATGAGAATACCGAAGAGCGAATGAATGCTCAGTGTCGAAACTCTTCCAAAATTTTACATTTATTAGTTTCATTTTTCTAAAAGCCACATAACCAGTTTTGAATTCAACTGTGCTGTTCAAAATGAATCATTGTGATATACAATACTGACTTCACAGAGAGGAGTTTCCGGTAAATTCATATTTCTTTCTTCACAAAATTTTATCAATCGATATTTGAATTGACAGTTAGTGCTGCCATCTATGAATTAGATAACTCATAACATTTTAAAGCAACGGCCATTGACCACAGCTGACTCAGTGCTAATATGAGGGCTTATAACGTTAGAATCAGGTTTCGATACGTGGGGTGGGCAGAGCACAGACAGCCCATAATGTAACTTTGTGCTTAACAATAAACAAACAATTACGCGATTTCCAACGAGAATGTTACTTCATATATAGATGAACCAAAGCAAGTGTAATATAATTATATGTTTGCTAGAGGGCGTATGATATTAAGATCAAGTAAGTTGACGAAAGTTCATGGTGAAAAACATGGGACGGTTTTTTAGTGTGTTCTGTCAATCTGGTTTCCAATTTTCTTTCTGTTTCTCCTATGAAGAATTCTGGGCAGTTATTGCATGTTATTTTGTAAATGACGTTGGTATTGTGTCATTTACAAAATAACATGCAAT